CTAACTAAAATGAATATGCAAAGGTGCTTATTCCCAATACGGTAATATGCAGGCAGCCAAATAATCTGTCATTCGAGTTAATTTAATTATCAGACCACATTTAATTATTCAATATAAAATGTAAATAAAGTGAAGGGCTGACAGCACATACTAATTATGTTCATTATAATAATTAAATGGGAAGGGATTTAGAAAGAGTCATGAAATTGCCATAAAATACAAGGAAGTTCTTGATTAAAAAACCAACATTTTAATTAGAAACTGCAGCATGATAGGAAACAGATGATTGGTTCCATCAAGAATGGGGTATTATATTTATTCTCCAGGTTTCTCTCCTGAAGTCATCTTTGGTATCAGGGGGGCTCAGTCTTTCCAGCTAATAGACTAAATGGTGGCAAATAAAAAGTGCCAATCCTTTATGCAAAGCAGTTGCCTAATAAAACAGCCTTAGGCTGTTCAAAATCTCCTGTCTTACAAAGACACAAGCTGTTTCCCCAGGAGGAAATAAAGGATCCACTGTGGACAAACAGGCCCTGCAAATTAACATGACTTCTGACTAATGATACAGAAGCATTAAATGAATTGAGCATCATAATTTCTCCTCTGAAATTCCTCTGATTTAGAGAACGTGGCATCAGGTTGAATACATTCGCTTCCTAAGAACAGAAGAGAGCTGGAAAGGGCAGGAACTGGACTGCCGGTTGTGAGGTGGGGGCACGTGAGCTCTTACTCCGCAACCCCTTTCCTTCCCCGAGCCTCGGGTTACTCCACCTGTAATCTGAGGCAGCAGGACTAGAGATTTCAGAGGCCTTCCAGGGGAAGACTCCATGAATCTGTGGCCAGAGCTGGGACGAGAGCTTAAAGCTATATTTACCACATCCCCTCAGCAAACACTCAGCAAATTATTGGGTTTGGGGGGATCAGAAAGGGAATTTAATAAAACAAGTTTTTAGAATGAAATAGACAATCAGCTTTTTAGTTACAGAAAACTCCCCAGTTCTACTGGGATATGAGCAGTTATCATTTTAGTAAGCTGAGGCTATTTCCCCCTACGCAGCCCATGCCATGCAGCTGGATGGCATGAGCACAACCCTTTGATGCAGCTAAAACAACTGTGGCTAGAGATGGCTCCACAGAGCAAGGCACCTGACATTGCACCTGTAAGTCCCTGCTCATCAGTGTCTGTCAGTGGAGCTCCTCTATTAATATGGGCGGGGGGGTCAGGGTATTTTCAGCTTTTAAGGATGAGCTATCATGGGGCGCCTGGGTGGCTTAGTCATTAAGCGTCTGCCTTCGGCTCAGGTCATGATCCCGGGGTCCTGGGATCGAGCCCCGCGTAGGGCTCCCTGCTCAGCGGGAAGCCTGCTTCTCCCTCTCCTACCCCCCTGCTTGTGTTCCCTCTCTCGCTGTCTCTCTCTCTGTCAAATAAATGAATACAAATATTAAAAAAAAAAAAAGGATGAGCTGTCATGGAGGCAGCTAATGAAGCCATCTGGTGCTGACAGAATCTAGAGTAGGGCAAGGAGCATCTGAAAAACCACAAAATGGCTTGGTGTCCCCATGAGATCAGAATGCTGGTCTGTGGTTCTAATCTTAGCCTTTAAAATATCACAGACTCATGGAACTCACAAAGGAGATCATCTAGAACAATCCACTCCTTTTTAGAAAAAAAAAAAAACATTTTTTTATTGTGGCAAAATACATATAACATAAAACTTACCATTTTAACCATTTTTAAGCCTACAGTTCAGTGGCGTTAAGTACACTCACAGTATCACACAACCGTTACCACCATCACTTCCAGAACCAATATACCTCTTGGTACAGTAAAAAATGCTCTAGCCTCAAGAGGGAAAATGATTTATTTCAGATCACACGGCTTGGGGCGCCTGGGTGGCTCAGTGGGTTAAGTGTCTGACTCTTGATTTTGGCTCAGGTCATGATCTCAGGGTTGTGAGATCGAGCCCTGTATCGGGCTCTGTGCAGGGCACGGAGCCTGCTTGAGATTCTCTCTCCCCCTTCCCACTAGGCTCTCTCCCTCCCTTTCAAAAAAAAAAAAAAAATGACATAGCTTGTGGCAGAAGTGGGGTTAGAACTCAGGCCTTCTATTTGTTAGACTGTAGTCGATTTTGTGCTCATAAAACACACTCATTTACACCTTCCCAGGATCTTTACAAGTTTTCTGAATAAGGCACACAGATAGATCCCAGAAGCTTCCTAATCAGCCTTCAGAGTTGAACAGCAGCTTCTCAATGTATTGTCTTGGTAAATGGGCATTATTTTCTGTACCCCAACCCCTGCCCAACATGAGAGATCCCCGGTAGATGGGGTCTGTGACACATGTGATTTTCTTTTTTTTTTTAAATTTAATTTAATTTTATTATGTTAATCACATACATTACATCATTAGTTTTTGATGTAGTGTTCCATGATTCATTGTTTGCGTATAACACCCAGTGCTCCATTCAATACCTGCCCTCCTTAATACTCATCACCAGGCTAACCCATCCCCTACCTACCTCCCCTCTAAAACCCTCAGTTTGCTTCTCAGAATCCATAGTCTCTCATGGTTCATCTCCCCCTCCGATATCCCCCCCTTCATTTTTCCCTTCCTACTATCTTGTTTCAGAGGTACAGGTCTGTGATTCAACAGTCTTACATGATTCACAGCACTCACCATAGCACATACCCTCCCCAATGTCTATCACCCAGCCACCCCAACCCTCCCACCCCCAACCACTCCAGCAACCCTCAGTTTGTTTCCTGAGATTAAGAATTCCTCATATCAGTGAGATTATATGATACATGAACTAAATGAGATATTCAACACTTTACTATAAAATAGGCTTTGTGTTAGATGATTTTACCCAACTGCAGGTTACCGTAAGTGTTCTGAGCATGCTGAAGGCAGGTGAGTCGTATCAAGTGCACTTTCCACTTAAGATATTTTCAACTTATGATGGGTTTATTGGGACGTAACCCCAGTGTAAGTAGAGGAAGACCCGTAATGTTAAGGGTATAAACTAGGACATAAGTGTATGCACAGTATGATCTCAGCTATGTAAAATACTCATAGAGGGGTGGCGGGTGGTGTGTGAAATGGGTGAAGGTGGTTCTAAGGCACAAACTTCCAGTTAAAAGATAAGTAAGTTCTGGGGATGTAATGTACAGCATGATGACTAGTACTGTATCATACATTTGAAAGTTGCTAAGATAGTAGATCTTAAAAGTTCTCACAAGAAAAAAATCTGTAACTTTGTGAAGTGATGGATGTTAACTAAACTTACTATGGTAATAATTTTGTATAATATGCATATATCAAATTATCAGTTTGCACCCTAAAATGAATACAATTGTTATATGTCAATTATATCTCAATAAAACTGGAAAAAATATTCATAGAAAAGGGACTGCAAGGGAACTTGCCAACATGGTAACAGTGGCTATCTCAGATGGTGAGATCAGGAGTAACTGTGATTCTGTCTTCTCTGCATTTGCCTTTTTCATGATGAGTAAGGAATACGTTTGTAATGAGAAAAAGAAAAACAAACTTCTAAAGGAAAATAAAAGGCAAATTTAGTAGGTTGAATGAATACACATGGAGAAAAGAAAATCACACAGGAGATTCCCCTCAGCTTTCCTTCCTTGAGCAGATTGTAAGAGACTCATGAACCTTCTGGGCCTGGTGCCTGGAAAGGACAAAGCACCAGTACCTGGGGGTGCTAGCAAGGGGAGAGCACTGCCAGAATGCTCCCAGGGCACGTGCGGGGGGTGGGGGGAGGTGGTGAAAAAGATCTGCCCTCCTGGCAACAGTGTCTGAAAAAGGGGAACTTTTCCATTTATGACACTTGTTCTGGTAAGGGTCAACATTTTCTATATTTTAATCATGGAAATCTTTCTAGAACGGACTGCATGTTCCTCAACCTTCTTAAAAGGGAATTCAGAGAACATACATTTTGCCTCCATGCTCATTCAGAGTTAGCACTGAGGACATTAAGAATCTTCTTGGAAATAAAATACAGGGTTTAGTGTCCCTTTGAACCCAGATGACTGCAATTTCTGAGTTTGGGGCCCTGCCTTATTTTCTTCTTTCCTCTTTCTCCTTATTAGATAGACAGTTCCGGCTCGTAGTGTGCAGCTTCTCACCTTGTACTTGGTTCCGTCACTGTAACCAACTCCTGTCCTCCTGCCCTGGTCTAGTTTGCTGTAGGCTAAACAGACCTAGTAAGTACACTTGTTAGAGATTTGCCTAGAATAAAACTTACTAATTTGGAGGGTTAATGGTTGTCTAGAAGCCTTTTTCTCGGCTATAATCCACACAGTTAAGGTCGCAGAAGGCTTTGGATAAATGAGGCTGTCAGGATCTACTATTTGATATGTTAGTTATGCCATTACTCTGGTTTTAAAAATAAAAAGAAATAAAGTGCTCATTATTATTATTAATTTTTTTTTTTTTTTTTTTTTTTGCAAAATCGGTAACACAAGTCTTCCCAACTTCTTAAAGCAGCAGAACCCTATTAACAAATAAACTCTTGCTTGGAAACCACATCATCCAAACAGTTAAAAGCAAAACTACTCTGGGTGACTCAAGGGGGAGAAGTCCAAGTCCCACCTTCTCAGGCCCCCTCCAACACCACCTGGCAGCCCCTAAGCACCCCGAAGTGACCCAAGCTGAAAGATGCAATCTACCTGATCAAAACAAAACAAATATATGGATAGAACATCAGAACCTATGTGGTAAGGGTGTGATGCTTCTGTTTAGTGAATGTTTTATTAAAAATATTTTATTTTTATAGCTCTAAGAGGAGGCCTTGGTGCTAATCTAGTGCTGATCACATCTCTTTGGATAGAATAAGTCAGAGACCTGTTCCTGGAGCCTGGTTAAAGTGCCTCACACAGGACAGATGGGTTCCAGCAGGCTAGCCTGCCTTTTCTCACTCCAATACCTCACACTCTCAGGGTTGGGGGAGCAGTCTAAGGAAGTGTCCGGGGCCTCTTACCTGGTTATCTGGGTGGTTGACAGTGAAGTAGCCCACACAGACGATGACCTCATGAAGGAGGCTTTCACAGGAGACTTGGCTGCAGTGGCCCAGTAGAGAGCTGGCGATGTGCCGGAATGCAAGGGACAAGCCCTCTGCCCCTACAATAGACTGACGAAGACAAGGAGCAGTTAGAACTCCTCAGCCCGGGGAGAGGCAGGGCTGCAAATCACAAAGCAAGACTGGACCCTGTGTACCTTCTGCTATGGTGCTGGAAAAGCACAGGAAATTTCTTTTTTTTTAAAAGATTTTATTTATTTATTTCACAGAGAGACACACAGCGAGAGGGAATACAAGCAGGGGGAGTGGGAGAGGGAGAAGCAGGCTTCCCAAGGAGCAGGGAGCCCGACGTGGGGCTCGATCCCAGGACCCTGGGATCATGACCTGAGCCGAAGGCAGATGCCTAATGACTGAGCCACCCAGGAGCCCCAGCACAGGAAATTTCTAGAGGACTATGTTTAATAGTTCAGTTTGGGGATTCCTGCTCTAATAAATGATCATAATAAATGCAACGTTTAACCTGAAAAGAGAGACATGGAGAAATACTCATATGGATCAAGACACTATCCACCTAAAGCATGGTTATTTATTCCATTTGTAGTAATTTTTTCTCATTGTACAAATAGTCTCACTGTAGAAAATGTGGAAAAATATAAAATACTAATATTCTCCTGTGAATCTGCCATTTAGCTTACTTCTAATACTTTTATTTTTTCCTAGAGCAGAAACCATTTTCTTGAACACAGGGATAAAACACAATTCTATTTACTGATGTTCAAATAGGAAAGCAACATAAAAAACAACTGGTTATTATTCAAACAGCTCTAGAAACCCAACATTCCCAAAAGAATGTTAAAAAACCAACACCCTGCCTCCCCCCAATAAAAACAAACCACGAAGCCCCCTCAACTGTGAGGCTTCTGGGATCCTTTCTCCAGACAGGCACAAAGCTGTTGCTGGTGGGCGACGTGGGAGGAGAGCCTGACTCTGTCTGTGAAGCCTGAAGTTTCTATTTAATAAACATGTCAAACAGACAGAGCGACAGGAGGGCAAAGGGGAGAGGCAAAGCCCACAGAATACACTTGCAGCCGACACTGGAATGAAGCACCCCTGCCGGCCTGTGGGAAAAGGCAGCGTTTTAAACTCATCTCTTGATTTGAGGTCTTGGTGGGCTTGAACCAGGTCATATATGTTGCAGCTTGGGAGTTGCAATGAATTCACTTTGCCTAACAGTGGTGAAACACAGTCCTGTTAGTGAGTATTGCTGCAATAAAATTACCACTAAATTTTAAGAGTGCCTTCTGTCTCAGTTTCATTGCCCTGAGACAAAATGTTTTTCAAGCCCCAAAGAGGCTTCATGAGAGCTTTGTTCCTTTAAATCAAGCAGTGACACCTTCTCAGCTCAGCCCTTATTTAATTAGTTGTGTCCAGCAGGCTGTGACCCAGTACCCTCTGTTTAACCTTCACTGATAAGAGCAGGTCAAGGGGCATGTAAGTTTGAATATAAAAATTAAACCAATTTTTCAAGGAAACTATATTTCCTTTTTAGCCAGAATTAATTGCCAAGTCAGTATATTGATTTGTTTCTTGAGACCACCTTCAATTGTAAAATCTGTCAAAGTGTATGCGATATACAATATCCGGGATCTCAAGGCCATCTGTGCCAATATGAATTCACAGTGAAATCAGACTCTTTGCTGAAGGGGGAAAAATATTTTGACAGCCTTATTAGTATACAATGAAATGGAACAAGCTAAGAAAATATTCTAATGGATAACCTTTTGTTACTACTACATGATAGGTTCTCACGTGAAACGAGCACACGGGTTTATGGCTTCGAAGAAGTGTGGAGGGGCACTGGGGATGCAGCACTCAAAAGTCAACTTGCTGAATCAACATCTGCTAAAACAGTTTGGGCAAATTCTTCATCACATTTCTTGAGGGCCTACTATGTGCTAGCTAGCACAGTGCTTCTATATAATCTCATTTAACCCTCACACTTGTGAGGTAAGTGTTTTTAGTCTACTTTATAGATGAGAAACTGAGTTCAAATGACTTGTCTAAGGTCATAAAACTTGGTAGTATAATGGCCCAAAGTCACATCAGTCTGACTCCAGATGCAAAGGTCTGATGAGGATGCCTATTATGGCTCTGCATTCTTATGATGCCTTGGTCCTCAAATGGTCAACATGTCTTACATCGTCTTATTTAACTCTTTAGCAGGTCAGACCATTTATCTCATTTTGATTTTATTCTTCAGTTCCTTTGATCCTCTCAGGCAATTCATAAATTGTCTCCCAGATTTTTCTGAGGTCAGACCCATGCTGTACCTAAAATCTCTTTTCCTGTCTTTTATAAACGTAGTTCCTAAAATCTCACTTTTGACATGTAAGTGGTCTTGATGAACTAGAACATGAGTTTCTCTGACCATATTTATCATAATAGTACTTTTCTCCGAAACTCACACATTGCTTTATACGCAAATACTGTATATTTGTATTGTATTTACTTGAGCATTACATGCTTGATCAGATGTCCATCTACATCAATCAATGACATCTGTGTGGATGTTTTATTTTAGCTTGCTAAACAGAGTGCTGTGGTTCAAAAAAATGCCTATAAATCTTTGATAGTCCTCCCACTGAGAGGTGGGGCCTATTCCTTCTCCCCTTGAAGCTGGAAGACTTATGACTGATTTAACCAAGAGTATGGTTGATATGCAGCTATATGACTTGTAAAGTAAGGTCATAAAAAGCCATGCAGTTTCTGTTTCTTTTAGAACATTTGTTTTCTGGAAGCTTCCTCTCAGGACACTCACTCAGAACCTAGACACCATGATGTTTTAAGCCCAAGTCACACAGAAAAGCCATATGTAGAGTCTCTGGCCAATAGTCCTTGGTGAACCTAGTCTTTAAGTCATCCCAGGCATCAAACAGGAGAGTGAAGGAGCCTCCAGATAATTTTAGCTCCCAGCTATCTGTGTCAACCTGCCCCTCCATTCCCCGACTTGTTGTTGGAGGCTCTCAGCTGAAGGCCTACACCATGGAGCAGTGACAAGCCACCCCTGTCTGAATTCTGGGCCCACAGAATCTGTGATCATAATAAAGTGGTTATTATCTAATAAGGTTTTTTTTTAATGTATAAAAGTAACTGGAACAATAAGGTAATCGTTGGTAGATGTATTAGAGTACCTGATGCTAGAAATTCTGGGCATTTGGGTGCCCACATGTGCTGATGAGGAGTAAAAAAAAATGTGCTGGACCTTGAATATCAAAAGGATGGCAGCCAGGAGGAAGGTTCCTGCAGGCTTTCCTGGCTCACGCACTAGTTAAGCGGAAAAGAGTACCTGAGAATAATGTCTGGGGAGAGAATGAGAAACAATTATGGCCAAATGGACTAAGATAAAACAGGAGAGTCAGAACAGAGATTAAAAAAGAAGAAAAAAACAGGAAAGAAAGTTAAGAGAAATACAGAGCTGCATGAAGGACAGAGAGGAAAGAAGCAAATATACTGGAGAACTGTTAGGAACCAGCCAAGAAAGACATTCTACTTGGGACACAGGACATTTGATTCTAAGAATGCCTTGAACACTCTTGAGTCACCCTGGTGTTTTACCTGCTGTTTTTGACAAAAGTGGCTCAAGTAGGGAATACGTTTCAGGCTGGACATAGCAAGGAGCTAGAGAGGAGAAATCTCGGTTTTTATGTTAGTTTGCCATGAAGGGCTCCAGAAATAAGCTTACGATTTTTCTAACATTATTGGCCATTGTGCCTAAAGGCCACTAGGGGAGCAGGGCTGGTTGGGGTTCAGTGGTGTTCCTTTTGAGTGAGACTGAACAGGCTGTGACCTCACAGGAATGGTGTGGGGAGTGCATGGATCTGGGCTCCCTGACACTCAAAGTGACTGATGGAATGGCTGACTTAATACAGGTGCTTTTGTTTATGATGTGGAGCACCCTGCAGCAGTATGAATCTTGGTCAGAAGACCTATAACACCAGAAGCTAAGAGACAGTTTTCAGATATTTTCTTTTCATAATCCCTGGTGACAAAGGAAATCACTTTACTTGGACTAGCTGATGGGTAGACTGCTAGTCTCCACGTTCTGAAGACAAAAACTTAGTGTCTCCTGATTTCCAAGCTGTTTCCACACTGAACACAAGGGGCTTGGTTCTTCATAAAACACAGGTGTTATGTTCAACCCAGAGGCATGAGCCACTGGCATTCTCTGGAGCAGACATCTTCTGTTTGAGGTGTGCCTGTAGACTCTCGGAACTTAAGAGATTATGTAGTTACCACCTAAGGCCAGTTCAAGTGCTTTGGAAACTGAAACGCATTAACCCTAAAGAGATTTCTGTTCTTGTGATGGATAAACTAACTCTACAAAGTTGAAAGATATCAAATCCAATGATACAACTTACTCACTACTTTCCTGTTGTGAATGGAATGACAGGATGACAAGAATTCCACATTTGTCATCAGCTACAAAACAAGCGTTTCTTCTATCTGGGAATGGCCAAAGCCCACCATTTTCATACATTTGTATCTCTATAACCTTTTTCCCTCTGAGCAAAGCAATTCATCTAAATTATGGGTTCATCATCTGCCAAGTTTGTTCCTTTTTTAATGAAATCGCTTGACAGTTAATAAACTGAAAGAGAAGTCTACTCCTTGGGGCTTGCTCTGTTCCAAAGGTTCAGTGTTTTTGAAAATTAAATTTCCTACATGAAAAAAATCTATTTCTAAGCTGACAGTCTGGTGTTATAGCATAAAGCAATTCTTCTTTCTTCAGCTATAAAAACTGAATTTATAGGGGTGTGCACATATAACTACACATGCACTTTACACCGGACACAAATCAGTTAAATCATCCACAGAAAGTCCTATCAATAAAACAATTTATCTAATTTTGGTTCTGTTTATGTAAGAAACCAGGACTTTCCTTAATATTTAAAAGCTGATGGGATAATAATGCCTTTACTATAAAGAAATCAAGACAAGATCTAGTAGTAGCAGAGTGGCACAGATTTCGGGGTCAGAAAATCATTGGTACCAGTCCTGGCAAAGCCACGTGTAACCCTGGGCAAATTACTTAACTGTCACCATTTCCATTTGTAGATGGGTATAATATTTTGCAGGACTATCATGAGAATAAATGAGAACGCATATGTAGAGCACCTAATACGGTTCCCAGAAGATAGCAGCTTCATAAATGGTATGTATTGTGATTTCCTGTACTATAGTTTATTCCTTATGTCCTAATCCAGGAGAAGACCCTCACACCATTATCTATACTAAAATATGAACTCTTGGTTGGGCAGCACCAACACTGACCAATGCTTGGTACCTGGAAAGCTGGCAGGTCCAGAGCGGCAAAACTGTTGAAGAGCTGTAAACTCTGGATGGCCACTTGGACTGTGTTCTGAGTGTAACTCTCCTTGGGGCTGGCAGGGCCGGGGTCCGAGATGGTGCCATGGAAGAGGACACAGTAGAGCATGTGCAGAACTCCAGCCAGGTCTGTGGCCTGCAGAGCAGCAGTCAGTCCTGTGGGATCCTGGCGATTATTGTCAAATATACTGTATGACCTGACAAAGAAACATTCAGCTCTTTAAAAGAAGTCTACTCAAGGATGTGAGCATTTTTATAGGTCAAATGGAACAAGAAAAGCAGACCGTTAAAAGCAAACCATCTGAGTTGCAGAATAAGGTAACCAGAAACCTTGGGGAGCGCACGCAGCTGGGAGCGTGGTGGCCGGGCCTGCCCTCCCCTGGGAGACCAGGCTGCTGTAGCAGTGGCAGCTGAGCACTCCGCAGCCAGCGCTAAGCGCCGCGCCCCCCACCCCCCGGCCCCCGTGCTTTGTAGCCTAGGTAGGCTTGCTTCGTTTAGCTTCTAGGTCTGGGCAAACTGGACAGAGTCCATGAGAGCTACTGGAACTCCTAAATACTATAGTTTCCTTTCGGAATATTATCAGGGCAGGCAGCTACCAGGAAAGTGTGAGGCCTCAAAAACTCAGTAGTGTGTTGGTATCCTGTGGTAGGGAGACACTTCACTTGCTCTTGAAAGCACAGTTCCATCATCAAGGAATACTGGCAGGACGGGTTGTAGGGGCCGGACTCCCAAGAACAAGCAAGTGCTAGACTAGCTTTATACAAATCACCATGAAGTCAGCTTAGTAACTGTGGCAGGCAGGGCTATGGGTGAACAAGAAGCAATGGTGGTGACAAATGAGTTCCTAAAATCAATAGGAGAGCCAGCAACGGTTTGCTAAATCCATCTCACTCCTGAACTCGGGTCTACATGAAGCATCTAGTGACCAGGAGCCTGCGGTTTTAGTAAATGTGGCTGCCAAGCATTCGTCCACCCTTTCTTCCCCTAGAAACTGCACCCAGATTTCTCTCTGAGGAATGATCTCTCTCTCTCTCTCTCTCTCTCTCTCTCATAACCAACGTGCTCCAGGTGGGGCCCCTCACCCTTCACTCTGACTCCAGGGCCTAAGGTACTAAAAGGCACACTTTACTTCTCTGGAGGTCCAGGACAGTTCAGGGATGGCACCTGTCACAGTCAGAGCTCACAGAACCGACGGAGATCCCTTTGCTGAAATGCTTGGAAAGAAACCCTCACTTTTTCTCCCCTGGGTTAGAATCTGAGAAGATGTAAAAGGTTTGCAGCTGCTACTGCCACATGTTCTACACAAATCCCCAGGTCTCTCCACGCCCTTCCTCGTGGGTCAGTTGTTTCCTTTCATGGACACATTCTTTTTTCCTCTGGAAGAGAAGTTACAAGTCCCTGCTCAGTGTCTTCCTTTATGACAGATACTCTTCCCTATTTTTAACATGAATACAGGTCCTCACCGTGCCCACTCCCATGGCTTTTTTTGTTGTTGTTCCTTTCAGATGGAATCTGGAATGTGAGAGGGGCATTAAAGATCTATGCTAATCTCATCCACTTGCCCAGAAACACTCGGGAGATGGCACTAATAAGAATTCAGAAGTGCTGGCTGGCAAGTTTCTGGTCTCTTGTCTAGTTTTCTAATTTGCTACTAGTTTCATCAAAGTAGAGCTTTATTCATAACCATGGTAAGTATTTATTTCTTGAATGTGGACTATTTCTGATACTGCTAAGGATGTGAGATGACATCATACACCTTATTCTCTTCTCAAGAAAGCAGCTCTCGGGAAACACTGTCATCTCATTGCCCTCTAACAGGGTCTGCTAAGTCCGTTCACATCTTTCACCTCATCTCACTCTTAGTTTTTCACGGTTGGGAGGGAAGATGTTGCTCCCCCTCGATGCACCCACCAAGATTAGTTGAGACGCTCTAGGTCGTACACATTTATCAGTGGCAAAGGCAAGGGAACCACAAGGACTTTCAACTCTTTAAGGGCAGTGCTTTGTCTGAGGACCAAAACATCCAGGGTAACCAGGAGGTGACTTCTTTTCTTTCCATTCCTTCTCTTAAGTCAAATGTTGGGGTTGACGGAACACTGTTAAAGTACAGGGAGACTGTAATGTGATCCTGTATCATCACGGAGAGATATTTTTTGTCTTATGGGACAAGTCAAGAAATGACATTTATTTGCTTACAGGTACATCTGAACCTTTACACAAACTCTGTTAGCTAATGTCAGTTGGCCCTTCCTTCTTTCCTTTCTTCCACTGTAGCCCTAAGAGCTTGGGGTCAGACCCTGACTAGAGACATGAGTAGAGATTAATGTGTCTGACTTTATTATAAAGGTTCCCAAAAGGGGTCTGTATTTGCTTAACACTGACTGCCTTTTATTTTTTGTGAAGCCTTGATATTTATCTATTATTATTATTTTAAATTAACACATAATGTATTTGTTTCGGGGGTACAGGTCTGTGATTCATCAGTCTTAAATAATTCCCAGTGCTCACCACAGCACATACCCTCCCCAATGTCCATCACCCAGCCGTCCCATCCCTCCCACCCCTTCCACTCCAGCAAACCTCAGTTTGTTTCCTGAGATTAAGAGTCTCTTAGGGTTTGTTTCCCTCTCTGGTTTCATCTTGTTTCATTTTTCCTGCCCTTCCCCTATGATCCTCTGTCTTGTTTCTCAAATTACACATATCAGTGAGATCATATGATAATTGTCTTTCTCTGATTGACTTATTTCACTTAGCATAATACCCTCTAGTTCCATCCACATCATTGCACATGGCAAGCTTTCGTTTTTTTGATGGCTGCATAATATTCCGTTGTGTGTGTGTGTGTGTGTGTGTGTGTGTGTGTGTGTATGTACACATATATACATGTATATGTGTATATATATACACACACACACACTCATCTTCTTTATCCATTCATCTGTTGATGGACATCTGGGCTCTTTCCACAGTTTGGCTATTGTGGACATTGCTGCTATAAACATCGGGGTGCATGTACCCCTTAGGATCCCTACATTTGTATCTTTGGGGTGAATACCCAGTAGTGCAATTGCTGGGTCATATGGTAGCTCTATTTTCAACTTCTTGAGGAACCTCCATACTGTTTTCCAGAGTGGCTGCACCAGCTTGCATTCCCACCAACAGTGTAGGAGGGTTCCCCTTTCTCCGCATCCCCGCCAACTCTGTCATTTCCTGACTTGTTAATTTTAGCCATTCTGACTGGCGTGAGGTGATATCTCATTGAGGTTTTGATTTGGATTTCCCTGATGCCGAGTGATGTTCAGCAGTTTTTCATGTGTCTGTTGGCCATTTGGATGTCTTTGCAGAAATGTCTGTTCATGTCTTCTGCCCATTTCTTGATTGGATTATTTGTTCTGTGAGTGTTGAGTTTGATAAGTTCTTTATAGGTCTTGGATACTAGCCCTTTATCTGATATGTCATTTGCAAATATCTTCTCCCATTCTGTCCGTTGTCTTTTGGTTTTGTTGACTGTTTCCTTTGCTGTACAAAAGCTTTTTGTCTTGATGAGATCCCAATAGTTCATTTTTGCCCTGGCTTCCCTTGCCTCTGGCAATGTTTCTAGGAAGAAGTTGCTGTGGCTGAGGTCGAAGAGGTTGCTGCCTGTGTTCTCCTCAAGGATTTTGATGGATTCCTGTCTCACATTTAGGTCTTTCATCCATTCTGAGTATTTTTGCGTGTGGTGTAAGGAAATGGTCCAGTTTCATTCTTCTGCATGTGGCTGTCCAATTTTCCCAACACCATTTGTTGAAGAGGCTGTCTTTTTCCCATTGGACATTCTTTCCCGCTTTAACACTGACCGCCTTTTAGAACCAATGGCAAGTCAGAAGGCATTTCTACCTAAAGTTAATTTCCAATAGCCTTTTGGACATTTGGGATGAGTGACATCATTGCTGCTGAGAACAGTTTTATTGCTCTGTGATTCAGAATGGTGACCTTACCCTTATTGACTGTGTTGTTTTAAACTGATTATCAGCATATTCAAATACAGGTAGTCAGAAATATAACTTTAGTGCTCGCTTCAGCAGCACATATACTAAAATTGGAACGATACAGAAATATAACTTTATCATAAAACAATTTGTCATACTTAATCTTTCTAAACATTTAAATGACATGAATTCACTGCTATTACTTCTTCAAAAGAATAAATGAAAATAAAAAAAAGTGAAGGTCATCAGACTACTTTCTTTCTCTCTCCATCCCATCCCATTATTTAGGAAAACACTAATCACAAACTATAAACAACACAACCCAGGATCTCTTGCAATATTTTCCTGATGAAATAAAAATGTTGATTCAGAAAAATGAACCATTCAATAACTTAGATGTGGAAATGGTTCAAAATGCATACAGTATTACTTCAGAGGAAAGACCATTTCCCCCCAAATTTTTATTTAAACTCTAGTTAGTTAACATACAGTGCAATAATACTGGTTTCAGGAGAATTCAGTGATTCATCACTTACATATAACACCCAGTGCTCATCACAAGCACCCTCCTTAATACCCACCACCCATCTAGTCCATCCCACACCCACCTCCCTCCATCAACTCTGTTCTCTATCGTTAAGAGTCCCTTATGGTTTGTTTCCCTCTTTTTATTCCCCCTTCCATAGGTTCATCTGTTTTGTTTCTTAAATTCCACATATGAGTGAAATCTATATGGTATTTGTCTTTCTCTGACTTATTTCCCTTAGCATAATACACTCTAGCTCCAACCACATTATTGCAAATGGCAAGACTGCATTCTTTTTGATGGCTGAATAATATTCCACTTTGTGTGTGTGTGTGTGTGTGTGTGTGTGTGTGTGTACACACAAACACCACATCTTCATTATCCATTCATCAGTCAATGGACATTTGCACTCTTTCCATAGTTTGCTTATTGTTGATAATGCTGCTATGAACACTGGGGTGTTTGTACCCCTTTGAATCAGTATCTTTATATCCTTTGGGTAAATACTAAATACCTAGTAGTGCATGCAATTGCTGGGTCCTAGGGTAGTTCTATTTTTCACTTCTTGAGGAACCTCCATACTGTTCTCCAGGGTGGCTGCACCAGTTTACATTTCCACCTACAGTGCAAGAGGGTTCCCTTTTTTTCTCATCCTCACCAACACCTGTTGTTTCTTGTGTTGTCAATTTTAGCCATTCTGACA